TGTTTAGTGTTTGAAAGACAGATTATTTATATGCTTTATAGTAGTTGTAGAAAACATAAAATGCGCGATCGCAAAGTGCAACTTCGCACACTAGTTACACAAGCTAGACCTACAAAAATGCCGTCGTAAATACCTAGAAATGATTCTTTTCTACTATAAAAATTACTGTCATTGGAAAACTACGTTGTGTACACTTTTGTGTTCATACTAAGAGTCTTTATGGAGGCTAGCGGCCATCTTGGATAATTTCAAACAGCCGCTGAAGAGTTATATACCGTCCAAAAATATTTTTTTAAACACCGAAGTGATTATAATTTAAATATCTAGCATACTGTGGGATTAGAAATGTTCTTTGTAGTTTTGAATTGCTCTCCAAGGGAGTCCATGGAAGCTGTCATCCATCTTGGATTATCACACCATAAGAGCAATGTTAATTTCGTTAATTTCAAACAACCGCTGAAGAGTTATTTACCGTCCAAAAATATATTTTCAAACACCGGAGTGATTATAATTTAAATATCTAGTATAATGTGAGATTATAAATTTACTTTGTAGTCATTTAAATATTTTATGAGTTAAAACGTCTAGGCTACAAGGACTCTTTAGTCTTAACAAGTTTTTGGAGTTGTGGGCACGTAACGGATTTTGACCAACCTTTCTGCCAAAACCACGTTCCGCAATTAAAACCCCCGTTGTGTGCACTTTTTGTCACACTTTCTTCTATGCTTAAATTAACTCAGCTGTTAGACCAGACCCCTTTCTGCAAACTGCCATTGATACAATTATGTTTACGTTTATAAGTTGTTTACAATATTCATTACAATAATGCATTTTTTCGATTTCGTTTCTGTTTCTGTTCGTTTTGTTAAGTCAAGTGAAATAAACAACATTTTGACCAATGCAAAAGATTACGTTGTCGGTAAGTACTTTAGTTAGTAGCCTAAATTATAAGTTAAATGAAATTATTAGCTATCGTCCATGATGTGCGAGCGAACGGGAAACAGGGAAATGAACTGTGCTAGAGTTTTAACGGTTTTAACAATAACCAGGGAAAATCCGTAAATTGTACACGCGTTTTGTATAGGACCGTGATAATTACATTATTTAATGCACACCACCAGTAAGCCTACAAATACATCCAATTTTTAGTAGGCATAGCGTTTCGTTGGTTTTATTTTCACGTCGTCGTCGTCGTGGCAAGTAAAAAATCGCGAGTGGTTGGGTTGTGGGTGATCGCGGATATGTCTACGATGGCCAGAGATTTTTGAGATGCAGTAACAGACGTGAATGAATGTGTATTTTTCCAAGAACTTGTCGTACTTACCATTAATCACGTTTTACCGACACAACAGCAGTCTTATGGTAGGTGTATGCAAGATAAGATACAAGGATTAGAGCTAGAAAGAAACCCCCTGTCAAAAATTCCCACTCCCCAGAGCCATACTCGTACCACAATATTTACAACTTCGTGATCGTGGGTATAAAAACTGTTTAAGTTTATACTACATTATATTGCTTTCATAGGATAGCTGATTTGTATTTTAAGACATATTTTGAACTGATAATCCTAATAATAACAATGCATACGAAAAATTTTTGTCGGCTTTTCTTTGACTTGTAAGGCCTTTGGTACTGTAAATCACGATTTGCTCGTCAATAAACTTGAATCTATTCGAGTTAGGGGGCTGGCACAGGAGTGGTTCTCCTCATACCTTCGATAAGGGAGCAATTCGTTGAGGTCAGAGGAGTTGACGGCTCTGGGGTTGCTACACCCTTTGTCTCCTCTCGGGACACCGTCACTTGTGTGGTTCCCCAGGGATCTGTCCTCGGACCTGTATTGTTTTTCATTTACATCAATGAGCTGCCTTCAAGTGCTGAGGCTGGAGAGATCTGTCTTTTTGCGGATGACACGTCGCCTTGTCTGGCTCAACTGCCGAGGAATTGGAATTAAAATCGTTTATTGAAGCAAACGACATAAAGCAGTGGTTTGACTCCAATTTATTAAATCTCAATCCCAACAAAACTGAATTGCTCCGCTTTTCAATCCAAGGCAATCCACTCACAACTATTATTTTAGACAACGGGGGAATTGAGTCGTCAGAAGATGTTAGGTTCCTTGGTTTAATATTAGGCAAACCCCTCCGTTTTTATGACCATGTCGACAATGTGTAAATGAGGGTTGGTTCCGGCATCTTTCTGTTAAAACAACTGTCCAATTTTTCTGATAAGAATGTCCTTATGACAACCTATTATGGAGTCATCTTCCCTCATCTGGTATATACAGTGCCGGCATGGAGAAATGAGAATAAAAGAACCCGATTTCTATTTTGACATCAAAAGAGAGCAATTCGAACTATTTTCAAAATCAGCTCACGAACTTCCTGCAAAGAATTCTTCCAGTCTTCAAATATTTTAACTTTTCCATGCATATCCTTGAAATACTCTCTTTTCTGAAAAAGAACATTTCTATTTTTACAAGTTCCAGATCATACCCATATTTTTGTGAAACAATCTTAATCTACAGATCCCAAAGCATTCAACCATATTTAAAAAAAAAACCTCTATTATAACGGTACGGTATAGTGTTTTTTAATGCATTGCCAAACTATCAAAAGATTTAGTCAAACCCTGTAATAAAAAAAAATCACTTCGAAAACTACTGGTGTCTAAATGCTACCACCGGGCCCGCTACTACCGAGTTTATTGCTGACTGTCATGGGCATATGTGTTCTTTGTTTATGAATTAACTAGCTGAGTACCCGTCCTTCGTACGGGGTTGGTATACAATGCTTATTGTAGTTAAATGCTCGTGCTTTGCATTTGCAATGAGAGAGGACACGTTTTGAGAAAATTTGGTTTAATATAATCTACGGTATACTATAGTATATATAGAACATCTACCATAGCCATAATGTTCTACCACTTCACCTAAACAATAGGAAGAAGTAAAGTTCTCACACTTAGGTTTTTGTTGCTGCTTGGTTCAAATTAGCTGTTAGTTGTCATAAATGTATAAAGAACTAATGGTGCTGCACCCTGTTGGTAAACCGTATAACCTTTTAATGCTATTGAATATCATAGAAACAAATTGTATACTGTAGTTGAAACAGCTGTCAAAATTATTTAATTCCTTTTACATATGAATACTCATAAGGTTAACATGGGAAACTCTAGAGCCACTGGGGCGGAGCCCAATAGGATTTTCAAGTTAAGAATAGGTCTATGTCAATCGGGAATGTGATCCACCATCAATCCAAATTTTAGCCCAATCCGACCAGTAGTTAATGCGTGATCGAACTTCAAACCAACAAAAAAACCAACTTTCACATTTATAATATGAAGTATGATAGTATGATTTATATGTGTCCGTTAGTACAATAACTCGATCAAATCAATCACTTAGTCTGCAGGTTTGCTGTGGCAAGGGTATTGTGTTTTTCCGCATCCATTGGAATTTTTTAAGTTTTAGGGGCTGATCCTAACCCTGGTCTCGTTACTATCTAACGTATTCTTATGATGCCATTTGTTGTTAGGTACAAACACATTTCGCGATCACGGTCACAAATCTGTCTAACTGGCATACCCATTGCGGCCGGTGGTCAAAATATTTTTTGTAGATTGAATTATTGTCGATTTCAATCCACGGTTTTCGGCAAACATTTGCATTTGGTGTGATTATAAATACACCCTACTTTACTCCGTGGATGCTGAAACCCTACATATGCATACAATTTCAGGATGGTTGCACTTTACACTTGCTCGAATTATTACCAACACGACAACTCGGGTGTTGTATGTACACATTCTTGGACTAACAACTATATGGACAATTTGTATTGCGTTTGATCCGCTCTCGTTACCGTCTATAAGAGTTTTTTTTTTTTTTTTTAATTTACTTCTTTAGATTGTTGTGCAAGTGCAAAATACCTCATATGATTTACTAGTCACTAATAATAGCCTACCAACTCACTGATCAAAATTAACTTTCTGTGTGTACAGATACCGCCAACCGTCAGAGTTTTACCAGTTTCAAACATGTTTATGTCTATAATGCCACGAACTGAATGAGTTATAGGCTAATTTTTGGTAGCGTTGAATTTTTCTCTAACATCATCACATATAAAATTTCAAATTATAATTTTCGATCTTTAGATTCATTGTTCTGTTTAAAAAAAACACACCTTAACGATGAAAATCGATGCCGCATGAACAATATATTGCTGATGGAGAGACGATCTCTTAATCATGCATAGGAAAGGCAGTAGATTTTGAGTTAAGGGTTCGCTCAATAAATATAATAACCTGTCTTTTGCTAGTTCTTGGAATTGAATTCAGTTTATAATATTAGTTCATAGTTTTATTTATATCCTAATAAATTCTTATAAAAATTTGTGCTCCAAGTTCATTAATAACTTTCCAATAGGACGTTGAAAATAGAGAGTTGCTTTTTATCGCGTTTTAGTACAAGGCTAAACCAATGAGGTCGACAAAATGTTTTGAATTAAATTAACCAAATTCCCAGTTTGAAATATTTTATTGGTTTTCTGTTGTCGGTCGGAGTTAACCCAAATTAAAATGAACAAAAGTATGCTGCATATATTCGAGGGGTTCTGCCGAAGCGTCCTCGACACCTAGAAGCATCGGTCAATTTACATTTAGCCCTGAACACTTTGTGATGAATAAGATAACTAGATATAAACCTACTATCTGTAGTACTGAGTTTTCATGAAATTTAAAAATTAATAAAATATTTTTGTATTTAAGAATAAAATCAATGTTAACCAATTATTAAAATACTAAAAAGTGCAATTTCGATCCCTAGGACTTCTCACAATTTTCGTCAACCATCTCGGCGAAACCATCCAAAAATACGGGTATGAAAACACGGTTTCCCAAATCGGGCGTGTTCATTACTGATTTTCTCAGTACGGTGGCGCTGCGGTGGTCCGAGAGGGTACTACGGTGGGAGGTATTGATCTGCAAACCGGGAGACGGGCGCGGCTGGCTGGTCAGAGTTCACCATGGACCGCCTGGAAAGGGAGTAATGCAGGTAACATACTCTGCATGTATCTCTAGATAAGTCGTCCACGGGACCGAGGAGAAGTCGTGTGTAGTGAGCAGTGAGGTGCGAGAAGTGACGAGTGTTCCGGAGTCAGAGGAGGTGGAAGTGTTGTGGGATACAAGGAGAAGGTAAGGGGAACGAGTCAGATATGTACTAAGTGTACGTAGTACAAAGATATTATGTGCATTGTGGGGTTCATGACGTCAGGGTTTTGTAGCCACCACCCTGTCCACCCTGATGAATTTTCTCTCGTGATTTTAAGCGAAGTCCTTCTCATCTCTTAGTTGTGTGTCTAGGGTAAAAATATAACTTAACAATTATAGTTACAAGAACCAAGCAAATGTTCGAACACACTGTTCCTAAAACAGAATGAGGCAAAATCATCAAGCAACCAGATTGCAAGTCTCATAAAACCCTTGATATCATCTCATACAAACTAATTCATCTCGTTAGGTTGATTTTTTACCGTATAGAACGCATAATTAACCATTAAATAAAATATTTACTGATACAACATTGACTAAAATACAGTTTATACGCCACAAAAACCAATACTATCCATTGTTAACTACTCTGAAACAGAACTCATTTTTAAGCGTTCTAATAGAAAAAAACCAAAATTTCCATACATAAATCTTTTAATAACAACAACAATCTTACATTATGACGAATCCCAAGGCGTGCTTAAACGACGTACGCCCTTAAGGTGGGTGTTTGTGTACGATAAGGCGGTAAATAGGTCACGATGTAGATCAATGAGTGCAGCAAGTCAGGAACCGCGAGAGATGTAGCTGCAATGCCCGCAGCACACCCTGTATCTATATTGCGTCCAGCGCCGTGCTACACAGAGTATACAATAGTTTAAATTATTATATGTTATTAACTGACATGTAACTATTACAACCGCGAGAGATGTAGCTGCAATGCCCGCAGCACACCCTGTATCTATATTGCGTCCAGCGCCGTGCTACACAGAGTATACAATAGTTTAAATTATTATATGTTACTAACTGTCATGTAACTATTACAACCGCGAGAGATGTAGCTGCAATGCCCGCAGCACACCCTGTATCTATATTGCGTCCAGCGCCGTGCTTCACACAGTATACAATAGTTTAAATTATTATATGTTACTAACTGTCATGTAACTATTACAACCGCGAGAGATGTAGCTGCAATGCCCGCAGCACACCCTGTATCTATATTGCGCCCAGCGCCGTGCTACATAGAGTATACAATAGTTTAAATTATTATATGTTACTAACTGTCGTGTAACTATTACAACCGCGAGAGATGTAGCTGCAATACCCGCAGCACACCCTGTATCTATATTGCGTCCAGCGCCGTGCTACACAGAGTATACAATAGTTTAAATTATTATATGTTACTAACTGTCGTGTAACTATTACAACCGCGAGAGATGTAGCTGCAATACCCGCAGCACACCCTGTATCTATATTGCGTCCAGCGCCGTGCTACACAGAGTATACAATAGTTTAAATTATTATATGTTACTAACTGTCGTGTAACTATTACAACCGCGAGAGATGTAGCTGCAATACCCGCAGCACACCCTGTATCTATATTGCGTCCAGCGCCGTGCTACACAGAGTATACAATAGTTTAAATTATTATATGTTACTAACTGTCGTGTAACTATTACAACCGCAAGAGATGTAGCTGCAATACCCGCAGCACACCCTGTATCTATATTGCGTCCAGCGCCGTGCTACACAGAGTATACAATAGTTTAAATTATTATATGTTACTAACTGTCATGTAACTACTACAACCGCGAGAGATGTAGCTGCAATGCCCGCAGCACACCCTGTATCTATATTGCGTCCAGCGCCGTGCTACACAGAGTATACAATAGTTTAAATTATTATATGTTACTAACTGTCATGTAACTACTACAACCGCGAGAGATGTAGCTGCAATGCCCGCAGCACACCCTGTATCTATATTGCGTCCAGTGCCGTGCTACACAGAGTATACAATAGTTTAAATTATTATATGTTACTAACTGTCATGTAACTAATACAACCGCGAGAGATGTAGCTGCAATGCCCGCAGCACACCCTGTATCTATATTGCGTCCAGCGCCGTGCTACACAGAGTATACAATAGTTTAAATTATTATATGTTACTAACTGTCATGTAACTACTACAACCGCGAGAGATGTAGCTGCAATGCCCGCAGCACACCCTGTATCTATATTGCGTCCAGCGCCGTGCTACACAGAGTATACAATAGTTTAAATTATTATATGTTACTAACTGTCATGTAACTATTACAACCGCGAGAGATGTAGCTGCAATGCCCGCAGCACACCCTGTATCTATATTGCGTCCAGCGCCGTGCTACACAGAGTATACAATAGTTTAAATTATTATATGTTACTAACTGTCATGTAACTATTAAAACCGCGAGAGATGTAGCTGCAATGCCCGCAGCACACCCTGTATCTATATTGCGTCCAGCGCCGTGCTACATAGAGTATACAATAGTTTAAATTATTATATGTTACTAACTGTCATGTAACTATTACAACCGTGAGATATGTAGCTGCAATGCCCACAGCACACCCTGTATCTATATTGCGTCAAGCGCCGTGCTACATAGAGTATACAATAGTTTAAATTATTATATGTTACTAACTGTCATGTAACTACTACAACCGCGAGATATGTAGCTGCAATGCCCGCAGCACACCCTGTATCTATATTGCGTCCAGCGCCGTGCTACATAGAGTATACAATAGTTTAAATTATTATGTGTTACTAACTGTCATGCAACTATTACAACCGCGAGAGATGTAGCTGCAATGCCCGCAGCACACCCTGTATCTATATTGCGTCCAGCGCCGTGCTACACAGAGTATACAATAGTTTAAATTATTATATGTTACTAACTGTCATGTAACTATTACAACCGCGAGAGATGTAGCTGCAATGTCCGCAGCACACTCTGTATCTATATTGCGTCCAGCGCCGTGCTACATAGAGTATACAATAGTTTAAACTATTATATGTTACTAACTGTCATGTAACTACTACAACCGCGAGAGATGTAGCTGCAATGCCCGCAGCACACCCTGTATCTATATTGCGTCCAGCGCCGTGCTACACAGAGTATACAATAGTTTAAATTATTATATGTTACTAACTGTCATGTAACTACTACAACCGCGAGAGATGTAGCTGCAATGCCCGCAGCACACCCTGTATCTATATTGCGTCCAGCGCCGTGCTACACAGAGTATACAATAGTTTAAATTATTATATGTTACTAACTGTCATGTAACTACTACAACCGCGAGAGATGTAGCTGCAATGCCCGCAGCACACCCTGTATCTATATTGCGTCCAGCGCCGTGCTACACAGAGTATACAATAGTTTAAATTATTATATGTTACTAACTGTCATGTAACTATTACAACCGCGAGAGATGTAGCTGCAACGCCCGCAGCACACCCTGTATCTATATTGCGTCCAACGCCGTGCTATATAGAGTATACAATAGTTTAAATTATTATATGTTACTAACTGTCATGTAACTACTACAACCGCGAGAGATGTAGCTGCAATACCCGCAGCACACCCTGTATCTATATTGCGTCCAGCGCCGTGCTACACAGAGTATACAATAGTTTAAATTATTATATGTTACTAACTGACATGTAACTATTACAACCGCGAGAGATGTAGCTGCAATGCCCGCAGCACACCCTGTATCTATATTGCGTCCAGCGCCGTGCTACACAGAGTATACAACAGTTTAAATTATTATGTTACTAACTGTCATGTAACTAATACAACCGCGAGAGATGTAGCTGCAATGCCCGCAGCACACCCTGTATCTATATTGCGTCCAGCGCCGTGCTACACAGAGTATACAATAGTTTAAATTATTATGTTACTAACTGTCATGTAACTAATACAACCGCGAGAGATGTAGCTGCAATGCCCGCAGCACACCCTGTATCTATATTGCGTCCAGCGCCGTGCTACACAGAGTATACAATAGTTTAAATTATTATGTTACTAACTGTCATGTAACTAATACAACCGCGAGAGATGTAGCTGCAATGCCCGCAGCACACCCTGTATCTATATTGCGTCCAGCGCCGTGCTACACAGAGTATGCAATAGTTTAAATTATTATGTTACTAATAATGACACTATTAGTTTTGGCCATGTATTTACTGAACTACTAATTTTGTTTATTTATTTGTTACTCAACTACTAAAATCATTCAAAATCGGTTGGGAATCGATCAACAAGATAGTACAATAAATCTATATTGTTTCCATCCACGAAGAAAACATATGCAGTCAAAGTATATTGTTGTACTTGTTGTACAACCAGAGTTGTTCTGGTACGCTGGGTGCACGCCGTAAAGTGGAAAGGAGCAACCTAAAAACTTAAAACACCGACTCAATTTTCATGTTTTGGCAGCTGTCGAGCCTTTCCAAGTGTCGAACTACGTCAAACATGAAACCAAAATTTCGATACCTTCATTTTCGTTTTTTTGAAAAAATATACTTTTTATCGAATTAACTATTACAATAAACCTATTAACTATTACAATAAATGATGCATCAATGTTAGTTAAATGTAGAAAATGTTTTGCTTTCTAAATTTTGGGGATTAAATAAGCCTAAACAATAATCAAACGAGTATTTAAACTTTAACAGCTGATTATCTGTCCCTCTCTACGACTCTACGAATCAGCTGATTATTGTAACCAGTAACGACATGAAATACTATTCCATTGTTGTAGTTAATGTAAAAGAGTTTCGTTATTTGACGTGTAATTTTTTACCGAAGTATATTAGTGTTTCTCTGCATTCAGTTCACTTTAAAACAGTGGCTTAAAGGTTGGTAAGGCAAAACAAGTATTGTTATTAATATTTTTTCATATTTCTTGACTATTTCCTGTAAATTGTTCGACTAACCGTCATCATACCGTAATATATTGTATAATATGTTTAAGAATTAGTATATGAAACGTCTAAGTAGATATTATTAAATTTACAATTCACCCTCACAGATTCAACACAAAATTGTTTCGGGTCAAAAGATAACTTGTTTTATACACACAAACCACCAGATCAACCAGGT